AACTAATGAACTTAATGAGCATTCTCTACAGGAATTCTCTTTCCATTATACCTCATGTAATATCCTCTACATATTAGAAGTATTTTTCACATTACAAAAATTAATACAAACGTTTTTCTTATTTAGTTTGTATATCTCTAGCATCTCCATCGATTTAATCCTGTCAAATTGCATACTGGACATATTATTTCAGCTCACTGCCAATCTACCTTTATCTCTGGAGATCACAGAAAAGCAGCCAAAAGTGGTTGTAGTCACTTCTTTCTGAACTGGCCAAACATGCTCTTTAATTTAAATTTTATGTTCTTAAACTTCAAAATTTAAATTAAATAAATGAAATTATTAATAAATATTTTTATATTAATATCAGTGTGGGATTGTTACTGTTGTTGGTGGCGTCAGTGACCAGTTATACTCATACAGTATATAGAAATTACTGTATTTGCTTCAATAGAAATGGGTGACCTCTAGCAGAGGTGCTATGAATTACAAAATGGCAAAGATAGTGGGTATAGTAAGAAGATTGCAAATGGAGAGCAACAGAGCAAAATCAAATACAGTTGACCCCCCTATAATTACGATTCCTATAAAACTACGAAAAAATTGTGACCGGTATCCGTAAAAAAACAGTAAAAACCCCCTATATCTTATAGGGGGTTTTTTACTGTTTCCAAAGAATGGAACGTATCTATATCTTATAGGGGGGGTCGACTGTATAAGTGTTAAAAATAAATACTGCTATGCTTTTGGATGCAAGTCAAAATTATTAAAACAGGAATTTATTTTTATTTATTGATTTTCAAAAGATTTAATACTGCAAATACTGCAAAATTACGAAAGGAGGTTGCATTGGAATTGGGAAAAGCAATACACAATGTACAATGCAGTTTGCATTTTAATTTCAATGATTCCAGGGAAGTGGCAAACATAACACTAAAATACTGCTTTCAATAAATATATTTGAAATGTGAGAATTATTATGTATTAACTGTATAACTGGTATAAGTGCTAAAATGTTAAATTATTGTGCTGATTGTGTGATAGAATGGATGATGCAACTATGTTATTGATAGTTGCACTGAGGAAAAAATAGAATTCTTATGGTCTAGAAAAGTGCAGTAATTGTACTGTTGTATAGAGGAAAGAGCAGTAGGAGTGACTGTAAAAATTTTCAATGAATAAGTTTGCAGAGCATACATGATAAAGTATATGGGAAAAATTCTGATTAGAGTGTGAAACCAATTATAATGTATTTGAAAGTGAGTGGCAAATGCAGTGTGGATTTATGGCAGTAAGACATGGATATGGCAAAAGAAAGATAAATGTTATTGTTTTTGCTTTTTGCCCTTATACTTATTAAATGTATTTATATTAACTTAAAAGCAGTTCATTTGTATTAGGGCTTATCACACCAGTTATCACGAATACAAAATTTATTAGATTTGATATACAGTGGGTGATCAGTTAATGAACAAATCAGATAACGAACACTTTTGTGAAAGATTTTTATGTTCGGACAATGAACACCTCACAGAACAAGAAGAAGCAACATAAAATAATGAATACTGATTGGTCTTCCCTTGTCTTCAGGCAACAATTCGGAACATTTCGGAGCGCGGGAGATGTAGACATCAACGCTCAACCCGGTATATACTGATTGGATAGTATTCCTGCGAACTTTGAAACTCTCCCTTGTAATTCCAGTTTTTTTATTTTTCTGACAGAAACAATTCTTTTATAGTATTTGCGAGACTGTTGGGTGAGCACTCGTTAAGTTTTGCGTCGGTTTTTATTTTCGAAAGGTGAGAGTATAATAGCAAAGGTAGAGAGTGGGCAGAAGATGTCTGTTGTTGCTGGGCAGTATGGCTCAAACAAGTCTACAGTAGGCATCAGTTCAATCTTATATAAGAAAGATACAGTATAATCGAGAAGAATCAAGCAGCTAAATTAATAACAAAAATCACATTGAGAAATAAAGAACATTGAAGAGCTCATAATAGAACCTGAAACGGATCTGATGACAGAAGAACGCCAAGAACTCTTGAATGAATAACACCAAGAAAAACTTGGTGAGATGTTTTCTTCTGAAAAAGAGGATTAATGCTGACATTTGCTATTAAAAATCTTTTGAAGAAGTGGGAGGATGTCAGAACAATGGTCTTAGAATGGCATCCAAACCAGGTTGAGGTTAATAGGTTTAGGGATCTCTACAATTACAATGCCATTAATTACTTCTGAAAAATCCTGAAGAAGAGAGAAAAGCAATTGACATCAGACAGATTCTTTAAACCCCACAAACAGAAAAAACGTGACTAATAAAAATGCAAGATTGTGTGTGTGTATATATATATATATATATGTTTATTATTACATATAAATAAACGTAGTAAGAAAGTGTATATTTTTTTATTTTTTGGGGTCTCCAGAACGAATTAATCAAATTCCCATAAAAACCTATGGTAAATCGATAATCGGTTAACAATCAATTTGGATAGCGAACAAAGTCTTGGAACAGATTATGTTCGTTAACCGATCATCCACTGTATATATTTAAAAATTTATAGAAAATTTATTTGAAATTAAATACAGTAAATGATGCAAAGTGCAAAAGAATTAAGTAATTAATCTGGTTTTTTAAGAAGTTTATCAATAAAAATTAAATACAATAAATAATATAAAAACCTGCCAAATGCCAAAAACTTACCTTTTATATAAATATATAATTTTCTTTTTTATATAGCTGTGTGTGATATATTTACTGCCTCCTTTTAAATAATTTTAAAGTTACTCATTAAATTTATTTAATTTATATCAAATTTTTAAAAACTGACATCGAAATTTACTATGAATTAAATCTATTAAATATAATGCATTATGCATAAGTGTCCCATTGTACTGTACAATACAATTGATAACTTGTATTTGCATCATTGTAAAATTCAAAAAGAAAAATTCCCATGCAAATTCCTTGGCTCATAGAAATGTTTGTTTTTTGTCATTTTGGAGCAGTTTGGTATGGTCTTGGTTTTGTGTAGCCAAAATATCATACTTTTGTTTTCCAGATTTTGTGTGTTCTTTTTAGTGTACAGAATTGATATTATTAGGGGCTTTAAAAAATGTTTGGCACCTCCCTATAACTCCAGAAAAGTAACAGTTTGAAATGCAAATATCATGTGTGTGTGTGTGTGTGAAGGTAGGCTACAGAGGCACTAGTTGCCAACAGATGATATTGTTGCATTGCAAAGGAAGAAAGGTACTGAGTCATTTGTGCAGGTGAGTTTGTGGATGAGGAAAAAGAAAATGGAAACAGATAATCATGGGCAGTGATGGATGGTGTGGTTTCTGTGGAGGAAAGGAGTGGCTGCATCAGAGATGCACATGAGGTTAGCAGCTGTGAGTGTGTTGGAATAGTGCAACAAAGTCGCAGAAGTATGTTTTGCTGGATATCTGACTTCAAAATCAGCAAGGACTGTGCTGAGAAAGGCAAAAGCATTGGATGGATGGCAAGTGCATGGAAACCAGACAACATCCATTGCATGTCTGATTTGATGATTTAGGACAGGAATCACATTTTGATGAACTGGAGGATGCAGTGTGTCTGTCACTCAGAACTCTGCATACTGTCATCTATCAAGATTTTAAGATGAAATAGATCTGCACACAATGGGTTCCTCATTCTCAAACTACTCAGCAGAAACAGCAGCATATGGAGACATGCCAACAACTTATACTGAATCTGTACAGCACATAACTAATGGCGTTCTTTGAGCATCTGGTCACAGGCAATGAATGAGTCATGGCTCCGGCATAAGACACTCAAAAAGAAATGCCAATCCATGGAGTGGAAGCACACTGGGAACCCTTGACCTAAGAAGCCACAGCCAGAAATGTTTGTCAAGAAGCAAATGATGACTGTATTCTAGGATCAGGAGGTGATCCTGCTTTTGGCTTGGCTATCCACTGGTGAGAGCATCAATAGTGACTAGTAATGCAGGACACTGCAGCAATTCTGTTGACTCATTTAGCAACACTATCTCAGGAAATGGGGATGTGACATGATTCTCTTACACAACAATGAGCAGCTTCCTATTGGTTGCCACACGGGACAAGACAATACTAATTTGGGTGGCGGGCATATATTTTAAATTAAATAAATAAAAAAATATGATTAAAAATTGCAGCCTGGCATTGTGACAATGTCAAAATAATTTTCTATAAGTATTCAATACTTTGTTATAACATTGTTAATGGAATAATAATGCTCTCATTTATATTCTGTTAGTGAAAAAAATTGGAAATGTATTAATATGGATATCTTATTTATAAATAAAAGTTTTAGTATCAGCATTGAATCAGCTACAATAAAAACACATTCTCAGTAGAAAAAGTTATGATTTAGAACTTTCCAAATTATTATTTTAATGTAAACTTTGTTTAGATGCAACAGTTGAAATAATTTGCATATTTCAATTTTTTTTAATATACAGGGGGTGATCGGTTAACGAATAAATTGGATAACAAACACTTTCACTAAAGATTTTTATGTTCGGACAATGAACACCTCACAGAACAAGAAGAGGCAACATAAAATAATGAATACTGATTGGTCTTCCCTTGTCTTCAGGCAACAATTCGGAACATTTCGAGCGCGGGAGATGTAGACATCAACGCTCAATCCGGTATATATTGATTGGCTAGTATTCCTGCGAACTTTGAAACTCTCCCTTGTAATTCCAGTNAATTCTACACTAATCACTTTTATAAACTTATTATTTACTGATTGAAATTTAGCAGTGTTAGGCCTATAATCAAAAGTCCTGTCAAAACTGATTCTTCTGTATTCAAATATCTGATTTTCAGAATATATTAATGTGGAAAAGCCTTTAAGTTAGGAAACACTAAAATTGCAATATAAATAGATATCATCTTACTAATGAAAATATTATCACATCAATCACATGAAATCAATTACAAAGTAACTTAGAAAAATAAAAAATTACATTTGCATTCCTGTCTTGTCTATCACCATAATTCCTCCTTTCATCAAATCTTTCTTCATCACTGAAATACCTGTATCTTTCATCTCTGTATCTCGGTGGCGATTGATTCCTATCATATCTGTCAGTATACCTGCTTCTTCTGCTATCGTAGTCTCTCTGGTATCTACTTTCACGAAAATTTTTATAGCTTGGTCTGAAGTTTCTTGGCCTTGTTCTATCAGAGTTTCTATGTCTTGTATCAAATTCATCATCACTGTATCGATATTCTTTCCTTTTTTCTTTAAATCTATTTTTTTCGTGTCTATTTGATTCATTATCACTGTCTGTTTCGATATGTTCTTGATCCCAATATCTTCTATGAGCACGAGAATCAGAAAAATTTTCTGATTTCTCTGGACTGCTGTCTCTTGAAATTTTTCTATCATCCTTCTTGTGTTTTTGCTTTTTGTGCTTTTCATTATAAACAGGAGAGGGCAATTTTTCCTAAAATAATATTTTATGAAATCAATGTTAATAAATTAATACTATTCAGAAAATTAATTAAATAGTAATTAATCAATTTTAAAAGTCTAGTACTCATTAACTATTATACAAGAAAATAGTTTCATGCAAATGAATTTTTACCTATATTTTTGTTCTGTATGTGTAGGAATCTATTTAGTTCCTTTAAATGTGATAATTTATTCTTTTCATGTTAAAATTTCATTATTATAAGAAATCTTTCATTAAATTTACACGACATTTAGAGATAGCTAAATAAATATAATTAAAACAACAGTTTTATACAAATTAATTTCATTTATGATGTAAATGACCTTGTGTAGAACTTGGATTATATATTTTCTTTGTGATTCCATACAGAAGCCATTCTAGCAAATAGGTGCAATAACTTTAGTATTTATAATGGTCAAGATTTTCCATTATTAATTGATAAATTGATTTATGTCACAATTAATTCTGCACATCAGAAATCCTTCTTTCATTGCAACATAGCTAACAAAACAATATGAAATAACTGTCAATGTAACAACAATCTACTTATGAAAATAAATAAATTATTTAAAACAATGGAGTCAGAATTTATTAATCTTACCTAATTTTACTATACGCGAGTACACAAAAATTCAAATTTTTCTTCCTTTCTGACTTATGGAGGACTAATGATTTCTCAACTCTAAAGCATTTACTAAAAATGAAGTAGAATTAGAATTAATAGTTTCTCACTCTGCAATTACAACTTATATACACGACAAGATTTACCCAGCATTCCGCTGGCACCATGCCATTATTCAAATGGTGCCAGCGGAATGCTGGGTAAATCTTGTCGGGTATATAAGTTGTAATTGCAGAGTGAGAAACTATTAATTCTAATTCTACTTCATTTTTAGTAAATGCTTTAGAGTTGAGAAATCATTAGTCCTCCATAAGTCAGAAAGGAAGAAAAATTTGAATTTTTGTGTACTCGCTTATAGTACAATTAAACATGCCTTCAAAATAAAATACAGTTACACCAAAAAATGAATATAAAGTGATTTAACATTTTAACTCACTAGAATGCAAAATCAATGAGAACCCTGAGCTTGTTTCTTTGCAACGAGACGGTTCCATCTGGGGGTAATAGGAGACAATGACACCCGAAGTGTGTTGCTTATGTCCAGTTTATTCTGTTGTTTTGTTTTGGTTGCTGTCACTGCAGAAAACCCCACTTCACACAGACAGGATGTCGGAAATGACAATAGGGATTTAAGTGCTGTGATGGCAATCTCAGGGTATTCCGCCATGACTTTAACCCAGAACACTGGCAGAGTTGTTGTCTCGAACATAGTTTTAAGACTGCCGTCATTTGAAATCTCCAGCAGTTGATGATCTTCTTGCACAGACATGCTAGATTTGCTTGGTTTGTTGACAAATGGGTAGCAGATCTATTCCTTACCAGTTCGCGGTAAGGAATATGGTTAGGAAGTAGCACTCGAACTCTTTTAAAAGCAAAGACAGATGATCGTGCACCAACTGGGAGAATGAATGCTCAGGCTCGCCTAAAATCACCGCTGATGTCTGAAACATGTCCAAAATGCCTCTGTTCACGTGCCATTCCCACAACTCCAGTTTGGCTTTAAATGCAGCTACTTTGTCTGCCAACTTGAAAACAGTTGTCATTTTCCCCTGAAGAGACAGATTGAGTTCATTGAGCACGCTGAATATGTCACACAGGTAAGCCAGTTTTGCGACCCATACTTTGTCACTGAAATGTGCTGCCAGCGGCGACTTCTTTTCTGAGAGAAATCTTTGCAATGGCTCTCGTAATTCAAACACTCTGGTTAGTGATTTTCCTCTGGATAACCATCTTATTTCTGTATATAAGAGAAGGCATCTGTGCTCTGTGTCCATCTCCTCACAAAGCTGCTCAAACAGGCATGAATTAAGAGCATGTGCTTTGATGTGGTTAATAACTTTAATGACATCAATCAGTACGCTGTTAAATTCTGGTGACATTTTTTGGCTTGCCAGCATTTCCCTGTGAATAATACAATGCATAGATTCACTCTCAGGTGCAACCTCCTTAATCCGAGCAGTTAAACCAGACAGCAGTCCGGTCATGGCAACAGCTCCGTCTGTGCATATGCCGACACAAAAGGACCATTTTAGTTGTCCTGATATATAACCATCCAGTGACTTGAACAGTTCTGCTCCTGTGGTGTTGGTTGGCAAAGATAGTGCACATAACAAATCCTCATGTACATCCTCCTGATATAGATATCGCACATAAACAAGTAGTATTGCCTTGTTGTCGATATCTGTAGATTCGTCAACCTGGAGTGCATACCACAGTGATGTATTAATCCTCTCCAGCAATTGTGTCTCAATGTCTTCGGCTATTTCCTTAATGCACTTAGTCACAGTGCTAGCCGACAAAGGCATATATGCTATCTTTTCCACAGCAGCCTCTCCTAGAAGTTCATGGCAAATGTCTTTTGTGGAGGGCAATATCAATTCTTCATCAATAGTGAATTACTTTTTAGCTTTAGCAATACAGTTAGCCACCAAATATGATGCTCTCAGTGCATTCTTTTTTATTGATGTGGTGACCCTCAGAAATTTCTTCTGTCCTTTGTGTTCCCATTTTTTTCTTTCAAAATACTCTAGGGGCTTGTCTTTTAATCCAGGGTGCATGGCGTTCAAGTGGCAAAGCAGTTTTGAAGGTTTCATTGCCTCATTAGAGAGCTGGTCACTGCAAACTATGCAGAGAAGGATTGGTTTGTGGGAATCACCTGTCCCGATAAATCCACATTTCAAGTAGGACTCATGGTATTGTCTGTTAAAAGTTTTATGTTTCTTTGATGTTAAAGGCTCTTCTTCTGTCTCTTCACTGGGCCATTTCTTTTTCCCAAGGAAACTTTTTAATGACGTCTGTTTCATACTCATTTTTGCTAATTTGTGGGTTAAATTTGAGCAAACACAATATACACGTACATTGGTGAAGTCAGACCAACCTAACAGATCTTAGGAGAACTCAACTTTCCCACCTAAACCCAATCTTTTTATACAGATTGAAGAAAACGCTAATCGACCAATCAGCATTTCGTAGCGCTATCGGACAACCGCCGATCGTATGATGTTGGCTGGCCAATCAGCACTCCTGTTTTCGAAACTAATGGTCATTTCTTGATCTGAGCTTCTACGGTATTAACTGTTGCTCGTTTAAAAAGAAAAAGGGCAGGAAACGTATGTCCAGACGATTTCATCGCGACACTCACCACCAAAGCTACAACACTACTGCCGCCGCTCAATTTCAAACATCACCTAAAACCGCCTTGATACCACAATATTTTGCGCATGCACGGTATTGGTACGGTTTTAGGTGACAACTCTCAGCTCCCGGTTAACCACACGTCCATTATTTAAAAGTCGCACAAACCCGAGAGAAATACAGCACAGTAAATAAAATGGAAATAATTTAATGTTCCTTGGGCGGCCCAGTACCATTTGATCCACAGACTGGTACCGGTCCACGGCTTGGGGGTTGGGGACCACTGTTCTAGAGTATAAATATAAATTCTGGAGAGCATAAATATTCAAAGAAATGCATTTCTTCTTAAAATATACTTTTTTGGTTGATTCTTTTGTCAATAATAATAATAATAATAATAATAATAATAATAATAATAATAATAATAATATCTCTCCCGTGGTCACCACCTGGTCGTGGTGGGAGAGCCCAGTAGTTTTACAGATCCATAGGGCAATGCAGGCTGGAGCACAAGCTCCTGGTAGGGACACCCATGCCAGTAAGGTCTATGGGGAGAAATGAAGCTAAGAGTGACCACACACCCACATTCTGTGGAGATAATCATTATGGTAGTAACCAGATCTAAGTATGATACCGGCTCGGACGTCGCCCGGGTTAACAAGGTCC